TTAATAAAATCTTTTTATTGAAATTCTAGTTTTGATTGAAGTTGAAACGATTTTTATATGTGTTGTTCTCCAAATTAAATTTTTTTTGTAAATCTTAGTGTTATATCTGCCTGTTCTTTTCTTATACTTTTATAGAACTATAATTTTCTTAAAAGTATTTAAAAAAAAAAAAAAAGGAATTTGTGTTTAGGCAGTTTTGAAATAAAATTCAACATTTTTAAACCTGGATAGGAGCTCAGTTCTCACTTGTATTACAAAAAATTGCTTGACTGACGCAGAATAAATATTCATATTTTTGGATTTTTGGGCTCAAAACTAAAGTTGCAACATGCATTTGTGTTCTTCCTACCTCAATATTGTTTTCTGCGTTGACATTCACGTCTATTCCTCTTTCTATCAATCCATTTATAACGTTAACTCGGCCCATCTGACAGGCTTTTAGTAAGATAGATTCCTACAATAAGAATGAGGCTGAATTAGGATATGAAGTAGAACGCAATCGTTGCACAGTGATAGTAGAAATTGTATTTTTTTTTTCATATGCTGTGAATTATCATACAGAACGTTGATCGCAGTTTACTTTGATGTCTACATTGTAGAGATTTTACTTCCTAATATTTTGAACTAAATACACCGACTACAATTACTCCGGAATAAAATGCTTCCAGCATAAAAAATTCTGAAAGTTCTTAGTAAAGTAATTTTAAAGTGATTGTTTTATCTTGAGATAAATGCTGTGTTGTAAAGACAAGTGACATCAACGAAAACTTTATTATGACTATTCACGTAGTTGCTAACCAATGTTTTTGCTGTTGCTTGATAAAAAGAAGCAGAAGCTCGATCGAGCGCACTACATATTAAATTATATTCACCGTCTTCAGCGTAGTGGACCAACTGATCAGTGCCAAAGCATTCCATCTGCAAAAATCGTTTAATGCTGTCGTGTTAGTGGATATTACCGTATAAGTCAAACGTTTCATCCTTTCAGAATTTTACAGTATTTATCTGTTATTATTACATGCAAAATAAAACAAAGATTTAGTTTAGACGTTTCATACCGATGCTCCGCTGATGAAAGAAAATTAATCAGATAGTTTACCAGTTAAGAGTAAAAAATTAGAAAATTTGTTTTGGGTAGAATTAACGCAAAAGATAAATTTTTTAAAGTTTAGGTTTATACGGCATTTTTTACAAAATTTATAGTAATTATAGAAAAATTTAGAGGATTTGTTTAAAATTGTGACTGCTTCAACGTTAAGTGCTTCAGACATCGCCTCAAAATAAAATTTTTACTTCCAAGATAAAGCTGTTTTACAAATTCTTAAAACGATTGTTGTGGCTAATTTATTTGAAACATTTAAGTTCCACTTTTGAAAAGACTGAAGAAATTAAAATCTACAAGCCTACAAGCACAGGCTTTGAAGTACTGCACATTTCTTAAAAAATGCACTCTTTCTGCGCTTTCTGGCGTTAACAGTAAAGTAGAGGTTTCGCATTAACTTCTAGCTGTAGAAGGAGAGAGGACAGTAAGCAAGTGTTTCTCATCATTTTCAAAATTGGCAAAATTTTCAGAAAAGACGAATGCAAAGAACAGAAGGTATACATAAGCTATTCATAATTTTTTCATAAAAAATGGAAAATGTAGGTGAACAAAAGTAATTGTGAACCTCTTGCCTTTGTTTCACCAGTGAATTTAAATTGTTTGACGCGGAACTTCTGCGTCTAAAAATTTCTTATCACTATTAAAACTTTGCTGTTCTACGAGCTTTCTATTGTTTTCTGCTTATCAAATAATTAGGGTCAGCTTTTTAAGTGCTAAGAATAGCAAAGAGTTACTGTCAATTCACTGTTTAACTTTATTTACCTTCACCACATTATACATTCATTTTTTAGATCAATTGTCCACACATCTCGGGTACTTCAATTTCTTAAGTTTATTTGTAACTTGTTGCATAAAAGAGCCTAAGCCGTTGATGATCTCTATAGAGCACTAGTTCACAGCAATTAATATTTTATTTTATTATCATTTTATAGATATTTTGGCTCTTTTGATTAGTTATGTTCCATTACACACTTTAGTAATACTCCTTTAATTCAAGAGGTGTAAATGACAACAAATAGTTAGTTTGTTAATAAGCTTAACGGCGCATAATAATACCGGCATTTAACAGTCACATTCGTATCGAGTTCTTATTTGTAAAAATTTAGCCATTCCTTAACTTTTAGACACACAGCTCTTTTAAAACTGAAATTCAAGCATCGTTTAAAGACATAGTAACAGACCTTAGACGGTATACAAAACACCGTTTTAAGCTATATAAAACTGTAAATAGAAAAAAATAGGTACCAGTTGCATGCAGTTTCACCTAAATTTGAATTGAGACAATGCACAGTATAAACCTAAAGCAGTTTGAATCAGAATTTTCTGTGCTTTCATTGTCATTTTACCACGCGACTCATTTAACAGACCAAAAAACCTCATTAAGAAAAAAAGTTGCTCCTTGCCCGCGTTGTGTTATTTAATGACTTAACTTTGTAGTTTGAACTAGAATGGCGCCACATAGCAAATAAATATTTATCGCTGAAATTTATTGACGAAACGAGCTGCTTATCTGAAATCAAAAAACAATAAATTTTTCAATAAAACTGTCATTTTTTTTAAAAATGAATTTTTACATTACGGTATAATTTGGGAACTTTCTGTTCTCAAAAAAAAAAAAAGAAAAAAAATTGAAAGCAAATAAGCCAAGTACTTCAGCTCTCAACTTAATTCCATAAATCGCTTACTAAGCTGTAAACTGCTGCAGTGTAAACAATAGTTCATAAGAAAAAAGTTAAGTTAGGATTTCATAACAAGCAAAATGCAAATTTTTGAAGAGGATTAGAACGAGATGTCTGCCAGGTACGCTAGGAAGGAACTTTGACGAAGATTAAGTCAAGCCATTCGACAGCACCGTTTCAATGCCTAATTAGAGAGGGTTTCTGATGCAAAGAGTGTAATCACAGCTACAAAAAAATTAAGCTGTAGAACAAGGAGATTTAGTGCCACATCACTAGCATAATCCGTAATTTTTACTCCACTTTTAGCTATTGCTTATATGATGTTTACATCTACTTTCATATAGTTGACCTCAGACGCTTTGTAGCACTCCCCCAGCAGGACAAAAACACTTCCCTAAGAAACTGATTATTGATTTCTAATAATAAATCAACGGTGAGCTTTTGATGGTCACGCTAAGAAAAGATTACAGTAACAAGAGTAGAAGAATAACTTTTAAGTTAACTTCATTACAGTTTTAGACTCATTTTATACTGTTCTCTCAATCTTCAATTGCTAATAAACTATTATACAGTAATTGTGAAAAGATAAAAAATAGATCTATCATATTCGGAAATACTAATTGTGCAATTTTGACAATTATTAGAGCATCTTCTGAATAAACGACGAATTGTTTAATTTATTTCTTCAATCTTTATCCAGGATCATTTACGTTTTTCTGGTCATACACGGTCATCAGCAATCTCAAATTTTTGAAATTTAAACACAGTTGCAATTGTTTTTTGTAATCTGTAGTACAACTTTATTACCTATATGAAGACTTAACTTTTTACAGTCTTTTGTTTTAGTGTTTCAGCAAATAACACTTTGAAAGTCATGCACATAATTTTAAATTCTGTAACCTTTTATGCTTTTAATTTCAAGCTTTACAAAAAAAACTTTTCTGCGCAAAACAGTCGTCTGACATGCTGTCTGACTCTGAATGTCACAGGCAGCTCTGGGTTAACTGAGTAGAAAAAGGCTGCTGATTCAAATGGTTAACAAACCACCTTAAAAAAACAAATATTCAATCACTTGTAGCTATTTTTAGTTACCAACAAGACTTCACTGTGTAGTTTGAACTAAGATAGCACCGCACAGCAATCAAATATTCTATCAATAAAATTTGGTGATGAAGCAAGCCGCTTATTTTGAGCAAAAAGCAACTAATTTCTCAGTCAGACTATAACTGTTCTACTGCACAGTTTTTTTTAAAAGCGGATCTGTACGTTACGGTGTTTCTAGAAACCTGTACTTTTTTAGGGATCTCTTTAGGGATCTTGTGCTATCAAATAGAAGAATTTACAGTTAAACGTGCTAAAAAACTTTATGACTTAACCAATCTTCATAAGTGAAAAACTGACTATCCTATAGTTTTTCAGCATTGAAAGGTGTAAGTAACAGGCCATAGAACAAAAAACCGCTACTGAAATTTTTCAGCATACAATTGTGCCTTTCAAAACTAATCTCAAACGTTAAATTGTAAATGATTCTGTCCAGTTTTATTCCAACTGTACAAGCATGACTCTGCAAACCTTCCTATCTTTTTCAAATAAGAAACAACTGCGGCGGTACAGAGACAGTCTTCCAAATATGCCTTTAAAAATTACAAAAGTTTATTAGAAAAAAAATGTCTTTCTGGAAAAGATCATCTTCTCAAGGGTTTATATTATCAGCAACAGTTGAAGGAGAATTACCTACCTACTATTGATTTTATACTCAGCATCAAAATTTACTGAACTTCTGAAATGCGGAAGAAAAACCGACAAAAGTCTCTCACTTCTGTGTAATTATAACTTATTTCTCTATGACACTGTGCCTGCTTTTCATTTTCAATATCTCATGAGACGAATTTTGATGATTTTGGCAAAAATTTTTTGTTAATTTTGAACTTAACGGCATAAAGCAGTAAAAGAATGAGAATTTTACATGAAGCGTTTCAAGTTTTATTTACTGAGAATTTATATAAGACGTCTACAAGTTGAACTTTTCTTTTTTTCCTTTTACATCCACGTAAAGTAAACAATCAGTTTGGTTATCAACAGCGGCCGACAGAGTTCTTCCCTGTCTCAACACTAGCTGAGCAGCAAACTTAAATACTGTTGTAAAAGCCGCTACGAAACACTAACAATTAACATTTGTTAAATCAAAAACAGACATCATGCAAGCAAAATCAAAAAAGCAGAGCACGACTTAAGAATTTTTTAACAGAGCTAACTTGCATTCCAAAACAGGAGTTTTTTGTATTTCGTCACAGCACTTGAGTGCGCCATCACAAGTTTGTATAACTGTCGCATTTCATTAGTATAAATTAACGGACTTTTGAGTCCCGCGACCATGTAGTTCTGTAAGACATTTTGCTGCGTTTAGTTAAATGCACTCTAATATGTATCAGGCCTGTTTTCTCAGCAGTTGTTCAAACTGTGTTGTCGGAAAGCCTAACTCGATGAATCACTTTGTCGTCTCATATTTCTCTTATATCCTTTTCTGTCCATTTTCAAAAATTCGTATGCCAGACGTTATAAAATTTAAGCGATACTTTATTATTTTGCGTACTATTTTTTACTCCTCAATGATTTATTACTTCATGTTTTACTGACAAGACTAAGTCAAATGGTAACAGCTTCAACACGTTTAACCGTAAACTTTTTTGGATTCTGAAAAAGGCATTGTGTTGCTTTAGTTTAGATAAGCAGCTTTTCTCGTCAGTAATTTTTGTGATAAAATATGCAGTTGTTATGTGGCGCCGTTTCGGTTCAAACTACAAAGTCAAGCCTGGTAAATAACTAGAAGCGGACTAAAAGTAATTAAGTGTCGGTTTCCTTATCAAGCCATTTTCCAACTTTTTAAGTAAGCAGCGTTGATTTTTGTTACTTAGTCAACTCAGAGTTGCATTGGTGTTCCGATTCAGATGCAACAATAGATGACTGTCCTGCAAAAAAAATGCAAAAAAAAAAATGATTTTTGTAAGATTGAACTCAAAGAGATAAAGCGTTAAAAAGTTCAAAATTTTATACATAAATTTAAAGTGTTGTTTTTTTGGAACCGTGAAACAAAAAAGTTTGGTGGGTCGAGTCGTTCATTCTTCTTTATTTTTGGC